CGGTCGGAATCTTTAAGTTTTAGGAGCATGGAAAAAGCTTTAATTTTTCCCACCGAATTAGAAAAAAAAAATCAATGAAGAAAATTGATCTTGCCGAGCAAAACCTACAACTGCTTCTTTGTCATCAGAGGTGGAGCGTCGATAATCACATGAGCCTTGTTCTTATCCACCTTGATTCCTTGATGATGCACAAGGAAACCCAAAAAATTTCCTGCAGATACGCCAAAGGCACATTTAGGAAGATTCATTTTTAGCTTATGCTGGCACTTGCAGAGGAAAGTTCGCTGAAGATCCTCTAAATGTGTTCGGCCGCATTTGGACTTGACTACAACATCGTCGATGTATACTTCAACAATAATGCCAATCAGGTTATGAAGAATGGCATTCATGGCACACTGATACATGGCATCGACGTTCTTAAGACCGAAAGGCACAACGACCCATTCATAGGTCCCTAATGCTCGAAGGCGCTAGAAAACAGTCTAATGGACATCTACGTCGGCAATAAAGATTGGTTTGTACCCAGCATGGCCATCCATGAAAGATAAAATCTCGTGGTTTGCTGCGGTGTCGATTAACAAATCTGAAATTAGCATTGGGTATTCGTCTTTAGGAGTTGCCAAATTTAGGTTACGAAAATCAATGCAGATACGCAAGGCACCACTTTTCTTTAAAACAGGCACGATGTTTGCCAACTATTCGACGTATTAGGCTATTAAAATAAAGCCATCTTTTAAAAGTCGAACAAGTACATCTTTTATGCCGAGTTGAACTTTAGTCAGCAATTGTCGAGAAGGTTGGCGGAACGGTTTACATCAAGCTTTGATATGTAGTTTATGTTCGACCAGTGTTCGGTCAAGTCTAAGCATCTCATGGTACCTCCAAGAAAAACAATATTTGAATTCCTTGAGTAATTTACAAAGTTTGGTCTTCATAGGTTGGGGCAACAAGGCGCTAATAAATAAAGGTCGAGGTTCATCGATTGGTCCAACATTTATCTCTTCTAAATGATCTTTGACTTCAAGCCAATTGTCTTCAAGTTGGGCTGGTGCAACTTGGACTTTATCTAGTGATAGAACTAGCTTGTTATCTCATTCGGCGATGAATTCTACTAAGTTTACGCCAGAATTTGGTTGCTTAGAAATGGTATAACAATGGGCTAGCAGTCGTTCCATAATAGATTAAACTGTAACCGTGCATCTGTCATGTCGTGTTGTATCAGTCATCAAGACCATCAGCTAAATCGACCAATCCAACCGTCGTTGAATCTTGCTGAATAGTCTAGGCGCCAACCTCGATGGCTTCCTGGACAAAGATCTTGGTTAACTTTCCCTCTTCCTTGAAGCCTTGTAGATTGATATAGGCAACCTGGTCATCATAATAATAAGCTCGAATCATATTAGCCTCGAACAGTTGATTATCGGTCGGATGAACCACGACTGATTATCGATCGGAAGAACTGTGGCCGATTTGTTGTCTTAGAAAATAAAGATATGGTACAGTGAAGAAGAGATACAGCTAGTCTAATGGATCCAGTCATGATCGAGCAATGCATTGTACTCGGTCTTTGAATCAACTATAAAAAACACGGTCATGTGATTTCGACCTGTGATATTTACTTCTAAAGGTATGACTCCTTTAGTTTAAGATTTATCACCAACAAAGCTACTCATGGTCACACCGGATGGAATGAGTTCATCTTTGGAGCGTCACAGAGCTTTCATTATAGAAACATGCATGATGTTGACCGTTGCCCCACAGTCAACGAAAACTTTGGATATCAGATACCCTTCAATATAGGCCGTTACGTACAAAGGCTTCAGATGATGAAGGTTGATGGCCAAAGAGCGCTAAGGCTGCTCTAAGCTTGTCTTCCGTTGATAGCCATGAAGTCGGCTTGTGTGGTCTCTTCGGCAACTACATCACCATCTAAAAAGCTTGGTTGAGAAGTGGTTGGTTGGAACTCTGTAGATGGGACATGGACCATGCTAATTTCCATGTTGTCGAGGACCGAGGGCCCAATTGGGTCTCGATCACTATCTTATTGATTGTTTGGCAGAATATGTTGATCTTCGATACACCAACTGCGTCGTCCTCAGCCACAGGTTATGTGCACCTAGTGTGCCTGTTGTGGCCGTTTTATCTTCAACTTCGGCAACAGGTTCTATTAGTGATGGGACTTGGTTCTCTGTTTGCAAAGCCTTGAGAACCTGCTCCTGATATGTGATGCAAGCATCATGTATGTCCAAATAGGCATCCAATCTTTTAACTCTCTCAATCTCTTCGGCCGTGAGGTCGAATAATGATACGGTCGGAAAAATGTCAAAATGATGTCGCAAATATTGCAGATCATCTAAAGAGAATAGGAGGTCTTCATGATTTAAATTGGTATATGGGTCGATGTAGAAGCCAAAAACACTGGCATGAGCCAATACCTTGCAAAAATAAGGTTTGTCAATCACTATCTCGGCTATGTCTATACAGACATATTGGGATTCGTCACCCTCGGATTATGCATAACTTACCGTTGGATTCTTATAAATTGTCCCATGGGTTAGAGTTTTTGAGATTTTACACGTATCTTGAACCAATCTTTTATCCTCGTCATAACCATATCCATATTTATCAGAAATTTTCTCCAACAATCATATCTGTACAGGGTAAGCTATCTACCACCAGAGTGATCATATATCATGACCTACATGCAGATTTACTTATAGAATTAGAGATGTAGTGATAAAGAAAGGGGACAAGTTTGTTGGTAAAGATTGCTGCTTATGGGGACCAATAGATTTAGAGTAGTACTCCTTTAGCAAACATATATAAAAGTTTAAAATTATTTTGAAGTACTAGCTAGCTAGATTGCCCTCAATTCTCTTAAAGCCAGTGACAGTAGATAGGAAGATGATAATGCGTTCCAACACAAGACATGTATGAGACATGTTCCATTCTTAACGCCAAAGTGATTGAGAAAGAGACAAGACAGTTCAGGAACAATACCTGTCCTTTTTTAAGCTTAATTATGAAATGTTACTACTCTAATTATAGAGGCTTACAAGTTACAGGCAGTAATAATAATCTATATGTCTTGCACAATATTCTGAATTATATCATCATATATATGGCTAGATAGATTAGCTTTTGCTTTTGTGAAAAATGACTCGTGTTTTAAGTAACCAAAAGCATATATAAAGCAGAAACCCTACCACTTACATGAATGTTCCTTTTTCCTCCCAAAAAAATAGCATTTGGAGCCCTCCATTTACATGATCAACGGAGAGACGCGTTGAAGAAAAGAGTGGACAATAGTTGAAAATAAACGGACGAACAAACGAAATATAACTATGAATATTATTTTATTAAATGAGAATGTCGAGACGATTACAACTATTGACTGAGTTGTTCACAAGCGAATAACAAACATCATATTTATAATAAACTAAATTCTAATCGCTAAATGAAAACTTAGTTCTAACGGGTTGGGCCTAAAACCCAAATAATTAAATAACTATAAAATAGTAATATTTTTCAACACCTTCGTCAAACTCATGACGATGTACGACATGGATTTGCCAACAAGCAGATGCGGACTAACTTTGTTAGGCAGATTGAACATAACTAGACTGGACTGGCGATGGAAGCACTGGATTGAACTGGCAAACTGGACTTGATGGCAAATAGACAAACTAGTTCTGATGTAGGCATGCTGATATTAAGAGTATGAAAGTAAAACATATGAGTGCTCTTCGTCACTAAACGAACAAGATAATTGCAGCAACAAACGAACAAAAACAACAGTATCACTTGAGTAGTCACATGCTCAAACACTCGACTGATTATTGCAAAGAACAACGTCAGATATCCGAACAATGTGGGCCTTCAGAACAAGGCCCACTACTTTCCTTCTTGCCCGTGTGGGCCTCTCAAACTAAACAACCAAATATTTCTTTTTCTTTCTTTTTTTTTTCTTTTTTTTCTTTTTCCCTTTCTCTCGTTTTTTTTTATTTTCTATTTTTCTCTTTTGTGCTAATTTGATAATGAGTCGTATCCTTCACATTGCACAAAACAAGAGCGCAGCAACAACAAGAAATTCTAGTGAGCAGCAGCGTCAGAATTCTAACTCAGATTTTCTGGGTTCCTATGCGGACACTATCAAACGGTGACTTCCGACATGGATCGGCGATGACCAGGGAACTAGTGCGACTACAGGCAGGACGAATTCTGGCAGCAATCAGAGCAGGTACTGTGACGATGGGTCGACTTGCAAGATCATGGGTTACGTTTTCCTGCGTGATGCGGACGGAAGATGGTGGTGGTCACGGATGCTGGGCGTGGTGGCTTCGGTTACTCAGACTTTAGGTTTCAGCTTGGCTCCGGTGCGGCGCGAATCCGGCGGCTCAACCCAATGACAGTTTTTCCTTTTCAGACTTTTTTGGTTTTTCAAACTAAAACAGCGATAATCTAAACAAAAAAGACATACTGATAGAATCAAGAACAGATTAGATCTCGAAAGATTAAACTTTGATACCAAATTGAAAATAAACGACAAACAAACGAAATACAAGACGACTAAAACCAAATAACTACAAGTTGTTCACAAACAAATAACAAGCATTATATTTATACTAAACTAAGGCTTAATCGCTAAACAAAAACCTAGTTCTAGCGCTGGGCCTAAGATCAAATAATTAAATAATTATAAAATACTAATATTTTTCAACACAATATCCATCTATAGAATAGAAGTAGGACAACGGAGGGTTCATTGAATGGTGTAGACTTTTAGTTGATGGATCATAGACCTAGTTAATTAACTTCGTAAAAATTATTGATTCAATTCTCGCATTTAATTAAATAAAACCTGCTAGCATGCAGATGCATAATTTGCACTAAATAATTACAGGTATCATATATATATATCATACTATTAATCGATGGAGTAGCTTTTCCTTTTAAATTTGTACATGTACAACTACTACAACTACAAGAGACGATGAATATGAGAATTAGTTCATCAAGTTAGAATATTAATTGTGAGGTTCAACAACAGGCTTTGAAGGGTTGAAGCTATTGCTTTCCAAGTCCATTCCGTAGGAGGAGGAAGAGGACTCTTTCGGTGATAAAGACGGGTTGTAAGAATACCAATTAGACCAGAAAAGGTAATTGAAGAAGTTGGCGAGGCTGAGCGCAGCGAGCAGCCAATAGAAACGGTCTAGCCTATCCCTGTTGAGATCATTGTCACTGAGCCACCCACCATTTGAAGAAGTTGAGGTCACCTTGTTCACCAGAGAAACAAGGAGGGAGCTCAAATAGAAGCCGAACGAGTATGAGCAGTACGTCATGGCAGTCAGAAAGGACTGCATCCCCTCCAATGACTGCTTGTAGAAGAACTCTATGAGCCCCACCGCGGTGAACATCTCCGAAAGGCCAAAGATGAGAAACTGTGGAGCAATCCAAAAGATAGAAAGGGCTTGGTTCGAATACAAGGCTGCGTTTCTTCTCTTTTTCTCAATCAATGCAGCTGAAACCATGGAAAAAGTAGCAATAAAGAGGCCAGTGCCAACTCTTTGCAAAGGTGAGATCCCCGAGTCCCTTCCTGTCACTTTTCTTGTAGCAGGGACAAAGACAATTTCATAGAGAGGGACAAGGAAGATGAGCATAATGTAAGGGATGGCTTGAAGCGAAGCTGGGGGAACTTTGAAACCTTTCGCGATCCTAGTGTTCATGGAACTTCCTTGCTGGACGGAGAATGTCTGGAGTTGAGCTAAAATTGTGTTGAAGATGATGGTACATGCAAAAATGGGCACAACTGAGAAAATGATTTTGACTTGCTCCACCTGTGCGACGGTGCATAATCTCCAAGAACTTTCGATCCGCTGACTTCCATCTTCAATTTTGATGCATGCCTTGTCCAGGAATCTGCAGTATCAGTAGTACTCGTTAGAATCACTAGATAGAAATTAGTTCTGATTAGTATATGCTCCATAATCCCAACTTTTTCTATCAAAATTAAGCAGGATAAAGAGTGCTCTTAAAAGACGTTGACATAAATTGACATTAGCAAAAGAAGAGGCATCTTGATTTGATACATTAATTCAAACTTTTTCTCCCTCATTAATGCAGAGGGGATAGGGAAAAAATTTGTATTAATCTTAGATTCTCATACATAAAGGAAGATAAAAACAACAAAAAGGAAAAAAAGAAAACAAGTAGAAGTTTATTAGTTTGTTACTTTACTAAATTTAAATTAAGCATTTGAATAATTCCACCTGAACTTTTCAGTGTGGAGGAGAGTAGTGACGTTTGGTGACATGGGAACAAAGAGGTGGTTTGACATTGGCACACTGTTTCGGTTTCCATGCAGCATTTCTGTATTTGAAGGACAGATTTGCTTTCTCTTTGTAAACGCAGCAACAAAAACCTGATGAGCATAAAAAATGGATAAGTGAATTAAAAGGTTTCTCACATTTAAGTACCTATAACACATGTGATCTAATATTCTAGTGGATAAGGTGTTTGAGTTTTCACTCATGCATTTTGAGTTTGAAACTTCCCCTCTCCCCTAAATTAGTAAAATGGTTTCGAACAATCCATTTTCCTTTAATAAAAATAATATATCTTTTTCACGATAACATCACAATTTATATATAAAGAAATATCAATTTACTTTATAACCCCAACTAAATTTTACAACTTAAAATCAATTAGAACATGACTTGTTAATAGATGAGAGATTTTTTTTCTCCCTCCAATTGAGTTGTTGAAGTATTTTGATATAATTTATCGTCGGTGGAGTGTTTTTTCTAACGCTATTGATTAAAATGATTGAGAAGAGACGGTGATCAAACCCACTTTCTAAATTTATTCATAATTTAAAGTATTAGGTCGGTGCCAAATCGAACATATATATCCATGTATTGACTAGTGTGTGCGTATATATATTGGGGGTGCTAAAAGAAAGACAAAAAGGATTCAAGTCATCTGACTGGGCATATAAAACATTTTCACTTTGATAGAAAGAAAGAAAAGAAAGAAAGCATCACACAACAATAGTAGTGTGTTTAGCAAAGCTTCTGTCCAATTTTTTTAATAGATCTTTTTATAAATCAGCAAAGAAAAAGAATACACTAGTTTACTCTCAGGCCAAGAATAATTACAATATAATAGAAAACTAAGCCATAAGCAAGTCACTTAACAGCAATACACACCAGGCACACTCAAAGAGACACAATTCTTGATCAAGTAAATAGATTTTTTACAGGGAGAACTAATAAAAAGTTCCTCACAATTTTTTTTTTCAATTAAAAATACTTATTAAAAACATGTTTTGTGCTATAAGGACAAAAAACCAAAAAAGAGTCGCACATTATAGGGATTTTGAATTAAAACAAATGTCCTTCATAATAAAAAAAATAAAAAATAAAAAATAAAAGTTGCCCTCAGTGATAAAAGAAAGTCGTTGATGAGTTTTTAATATAAAAATTTTACGAAAGACTTTTTATTATTTTTCAAAGAACTCCATTTGGCTGTGTTTAACGGAATTTGAGTTAAAACGCTTTTTAACAATTAAAAGTGCTTATAACAATCAAACTTGCTCAGTTAGCTTAAAAAAAGTACAACAAAAGCAATATATCTCAACAATTAAACGGAAGGAAGGACTAAATTAACAAAAAAAAAAAAAAAAAAAGGCTCCTCAATTTCAAAAGGACGGAAATAAAGTAGAGAAGAAAAAAAGCACATGGTAACATTGGAGAAGTTAAAGAAGCAGGGAGAAAGGAGCAATTAGTGAGATCATCAGGTTGGTTAATTACTTGAGCAATAGGAGTGAAAATACTTCCTCGAGGGGGTTTGTTCCTGTAAAGAGATGTACCAAAAGTCAAGCAGAATAATCCCATTGCCATGGCAGCTGCTGAGACTCCAAACCCAACATCCATCCCGGAGTGTGTTTGGACCCAAACAAGGACTGTTAGTGCAATGAGTTCTCCGGTGCAGAAGGCGAAGTAAGCGCAGTTGAAGTAAGATGATAGCTTCTTAGACTGCTTGGAGTCGTCCCTCCTGAACTGGTCGGCCCCATGAGAGATTATGTTCGGTTTTAGGCAACCGCTTCCTAAGGCCACCAGGTATATTGCAGCAAAGAATATCAGGGCCTTGTAGCCCTTTGCCTCAGGACATAACTCCTCCTCATGCTCATGGGATGACATAATATTGTTGCAGGAGGGTGGCCTTAATTGTGGGAGATGGGCTTGCACGCACAGCAATATAAAACCCTGCAACCAGTTTAATTACTCCAAAAATTAGTCATTAATCATTCTAATTAGAAAGAAAAAATTAGCATTCTCTTCATAGTTTACGCATTCAGATTCAGGAGCACTATTATTATGCCACATAAAATATGCTTTTTTCCTCTTTGGGGATGCAAAACAATGGGATCCCATATAAACTGTTAAGAATGAGTCTCACATTGAAGAGAGGAGGGACTTGCATGGGCTTATAAGAGGTTAGGATACTCTCCATATTGTTAATTGATTTTACTGGTAAAACCCTAACTTTCTTCAGTAAACCAACATGTAACATTCGTACATTTTATTTTTTTTTAAGTTGGTGGTGTATACTGTATAGGAGTCTGAAATGATAAGAGTCGACTACTTTTGTATCTTTATTGATTTAGTGTTAGTAAAATAAGATAAGATTTTATTTTTTTCATTTAATAAGATAAACTTGGATTTGAGGAGAGACAGAGAATCTTGAATATATATGTAAACTCCACCATATACACACACACGTCTATATAGTGCTTGAAATCATGACACCACCATATAAACGTAAAATCAGAAAGAAAAAGAAAAATGAGTGAACTGGACTGCTTACAGAGAGCTCGACAAAGCCGAAGATGATCATGGTCCAGAAGCTCCCAAGGTATGAATCAGAGAGGTAGCCACCAAGGAGGGAGAGGAGGAAGACTGTCCCTATGAAGTTCGTGACTATGTTTGCAGACTTTGACAGTGAAAAGTGCATCTCAGTTAGTACATACGTAATCAGATTGTTCCCAACACCTGCTATTGCCATCATCTCAAAACCCTGCAGACCTGCACATTTATGTATATATATCATTTACCATTTAGATTAATATCATCAGCAATGCCAAGAACTAGAAGGGACAGCTAAATAAGATCACACACAGCTACACAAATGTATGTGTATATATATATATATATATATATATATATATATATATATGGTGTAAACTAAATAATTCTGAGAAATGGAGAGAGACCAAGGACAAAAACAGCAGCCCTCATTCCACCATGGTTGGTAGGCTTGCAGGGTCTGCCTCTCCAATCAACAGACATATCCTCCGAATCCACCACTGCACCCTCACTCTTTGAATCTCCTCTTAATTTCATTGGTCTCTCTCTCTATAGACTGTTTATTACACTCTCCCACACTCTTTCTTGTTATCTATCTTTGTGTATTTTTGTATGCGTCTCTTTTGTGAAATCAAAGGCTGTGACTTCCTTAAAAACTTCCTTTTGTGATTTGGAGACAATCTAACAAGTGCGTTTGCCTCATATATTTATAGTGTCACGGTCACCTCGGCCTGCACTTCCTCGGGGCCGATCTATTCGACTCCTCGGCAAGTTGACTCAGCAGTAGTGGGGAGTGGCATGGCCCATCCATTCATCCTCCACAAAACAAAGCTGAACAACAAAAAAAATCTACTTTTATTACATTTTTCATACAACATTTCTACCATCTCTTTAATAAAGATATGATTCACATGTGTTGGTAGATTCTACCTTTTGTTAAAGAGGTGGTACAAATGTAGTATAAAAAAATGTGGTAAATGTAGTATTATTCGCTAAACAAAACTCAACAAGTGTGAATCCTATCTCTATTAGAAAGGTGATAAAAATGTAGTATGAAAAATATAAGTGTAACATTACTCGCTAACAAAACTTAACAAGTCAGCTTCACACACACACCCACACCCCGCAAACCATGTATTTATATATTATATATAAATAAACGATGACTTCCATCTCCAGACTATACACCATCCATTACCATGGATTTGTGGCTCCGGGTACCGTGGGCTGTACTTTTGGCCAAACACTAGTCACTCGTGAATCATGCTCGTTCTACTTAGCATACCATCTCTCAAGTGGGCCTACAACCCTAGTGATACTGATCCAGAGTGGAGCATTACTTCCATTACTACTACGCTCTTTGCGGTTCTAAAAGGTGCTAGACGGTGGTTGAGTAGCACATAAAGACCTAGCGCATTCCATGGTGTTCTAGCTAGTAGCTTAGGAAGTTCAAGTCATATTAAGCGCAATTACAATAAGTGGACTACGAACATAAGGACATGGCCCCTTGATCTAAAAGCTTCAAGTGCACCATCCAACTTCTAAAAAGTTTATGCAAACCTGGGCTATTTGAGGGAATAATCGAAAGGGCGAATTGAAAATTAGCCGAGTGGTAGCTTTGAACTTCGTCCCTGAGTACGATTACTTCTATCTCAGACCAATGTACTAAGTCAAGTACATTCTGCTATGATCTCATGCCTAAAGCAGGTTCAAATGTGGCATCCAGACAAGGAAAATCCCAAGACAGAAGTTTACTCTAACGAAGCTCCGATGCATAGAAATGCTTTATATAAGTCAACTAAGTGTAGTTTGATAGGAGACGCTCATGTCTGATGCATATAAGGTCTGACAAAAGGATTCCAAAAATGTTTCAGTTGGTCCATGTGCAAGCGACAAAGTTCCTAACAAAACTTCTGTTTAAGGTTCAGTAGGATAGATATGCAATTCAAACTGGAAAGGAAACTCCTTCTTGGTTACACATTGCAATTATTAAAATCCTCACATCTCGAATGGGGCAAGGTGAAACGAACAAATGGATATAAAGTCATGCTTAAAATATCTCACAAACACTTAGATTAATCTTCTGCAAGTGTTTGCCATTACTACACTGCCAACAAGGTAATTGGAACATGTCGAATTGGCATTAAGATCTGGAGGCCATTCCAGACAAAGTTTATCACTCTCTCATCCTCAATTCGATTAATGCATTGAACTAAGTTTCAGAGTAAATGATTTTCCATAGGTCTAGAACCTAGAGTCGTAAGAGGGTGGTATTCTAATTATCAAGCTTATTCATGCTTGACTTCGTTGCTTAACTCCGAAGTTTGCTTACTTCGGACAGATTGTTGGATTAAGCTATATTTCTTGATAAGGAAGCAGCAAATGAAAATTTCTAAGTGTTTTATCTAACAGGATTAAAGTCTTGAGTAAAATAAACTTAGCAAATTATATCCAAAAGCATCTAAATCCTTCCAAGAATATATAGTCATTCCGCCTTGCATTCATCTTTTCAGCAATGTATCAGAAACTCTGACCAAGGGTCTACAATACGGTTCCGAACTCCAAAAGATAGATCTTTGAGAGACAAGCAAGTATGACTAGTTATGCTTGGCTAGCTTCGAATCAAATAAGTAGTTCAAAGATCATTTCGATGAGTATCCCAAAAAATGTCGTTTTGGAAAGATTAGTACAAGGTCCGTTGATAACTATCCATCCTCGAGCTGAGCGCACTCTTAGAAGAATAGTTTGAGGCATTTGTAGGACAGTGAGTTTCTAGGCCGATGACACATGGGACTCAGGTTTTTCAGAATGACCAAAAAGCCCTTTGAGTGAGATCATAGCTATTATTCTGGTTTGAATTACCATAGGCCACAGTAGTTCGGCACGGCTCCATTAGCTCTAAGCCCATTAAAGATATTATTTGTCTCCCTAATACGAAAACCCTATTCAACTCAAATTAGGATATCTTTGGGGATTAAGCAACATAATCATAATCCTAGGAGGATTGGATATCTTATCTAGACCGGCAATTCCTTACACAACATGTTAACCCAACCAAAATGACACAAAAATAACAGGTTTGGGGTCAACATGTTAACTAATCAGGTTGTTGTCATGTCACACTTTAAGGACCCATTAATAATGGGTTCTTAATAGGTTTACGTGTAGGTAATCCGTTTCAATCTAATTAGGAAAAAAAAATTTGTTGGGTAAAGTACAAAAAACTACCTCAACTATTATTGTTACAACACTTTCATTCCTCATCTTTTAAAATTGAAAATGTCATGCCTCATCTTACGAATTTGTGCCAATGTTATACCTTCCGTTAGCCTGCTGTTAATTTGTCAGTTAAATGCTGACGTGGCTTGATTCAGGGCCTACTTTCTATTAAAAAAAAAAATCATTTAATATTTTTTAAATATTAAAATAATAAAGAAAAGAAAAAAAATAAAAATAAAAACCTTTCGTCGCCCAATTCGCATCTCCATTCCCAAACAGCTTCCCACTCGAGTTCGTCCCCACCGCTACCGGAAAATCCGAACACGTCCCATACGTCGCTGAAGCCCCAACCGAACAGCACCTTCGGGTCCCACTCCGCTCACTACTCCTCCCGGAAACCGACCTCGACCCACGACGCCGCCGCTTCTTTGCGATGAACCGGAAGCTCCCGTTCCTAGTATGGTGTCCACCGGAGATCGTCCTGTCGTAGTCAACCAAGGTAAGTCTCTAGGGTTGATTCTGCTTATTGCAATAAACTTTCTGACGCAGATGGGGGATTGGGATTTCCATGTCCAAGGGCCTCTCATTCCCTAAATTTTGTGTCTGGTTACTTGGTGTTGTTTGGTGGTGGATGTGAGGGAGGTTAGTTAGTTAATCTTGCTTAAAATAATCCCTTCTCAAATTTTGCTTTTATGGGTTGCATGTAGGGGCTCAGGGTGGGGGAGAAGAGGGGGTGGGGGATTGGGGAGAAGAGAGAAGGACGCGTGGGGGAGGGGGGAAGGGATGAAGTTTTGTTTTTTTGTTTTTTTTTTTTTTTTCTTTCTTCTTCTTTTGTTTTCTGGGTTGCAGCAGGTAGATGGAGGAGGGAGGGAGGGGGGAAGGGAAGAAAGGTTTTGTTTTTTTTTTTACTTTTCCTTATTATTTTAATATTTAAAAAATGTTAAATGATTTTTTTTAGTTTTTAATAATATTTTATTAATTTTTTTAATAAAAAGTGGGCCCTGAATCAAGCCATGTTAGCATTTAAATGACAAATTAACAGCAGGCTAACGGAAGGTATAACATTGGCACAAATTCGTAAGATGAGGTATGACATTGTCAATTTTAAAAGATGAGGTATGAAAGTGTCGTGACACCAATAGTTGATGTAGTTTTTTGTACTTTACCCAAATTTGTTTGATAATTTTAAACTACTAAAAAAACCTTACTACAATAGCTACAGTATTTAATCTCATATAAGTAAGATTTAAAAATTCAAAGCACATTAAAAATACCAAAGCACATTAAAAAATTCATAATAGTTAATTTATAAGTGTAAAAAATGTGAAAAAAATATGCAAACACTCGTGATTGCATCTTCTACGCTTTGAGATGGGTACATAGCCGTTTGATTTTTTAAACCCTACAAACCCTCATGAATAGTGGTCTTTGTTTCAATGCAAAATTAATAGAAATTTATAATAATTAATGCAGAATTGTGAAAATGTTAAAAAAATAAATATATACAGCCACTCATGACAAGCTTTACATCTTTCATGAAGATGTCCACTCTGAAATTTGACACCATAATCTATAAACTGCATTTATGCTCTATTCTTCTCACTAGATTTCATTTTTTAAAGACATAAACTTTTGGAGGATGCAGAAAAATGAACTGTTCGGATCTTGATATCACATTCTGATATTTACCATTAACTGAAATATGAGTCAATGTTATAAAATTTTAGAGACTTTATGAACTCCAAGCAATATTTTCACCAACCGAAAAAATCTATATGTGATACTAATAATCCAAGCCATTCATCTTTCTGCATCTGCTGATAAAATTTGAAACAAAATTCGATGAAAAGAATGAAGCGCAAAATTGAACAACAACTAACAGCTAAATTTTTAAATGGGTAAATTACACAGAACTACCTCAACTATTAGGTCATTAATAGTTTCATACCTCGTCTTTAAAAAGTTTCAGCGTCATACCTCATCGACGAATTTGTTACAATTTTATACCTTCCGTCAGTTGTCCATCAATTCCTCCGTTAAAATGCTAATGTGGCAAGTGACGACACCCATTTTCTATTAAAATATTAATTAAATATTAAAAAAAGAAAAAAGAAAGAAACCCAAATCCAAATCCATTCCCCCTTCGCGAAACCCATCCCCTTTTCCCATCCTCCCCATCTGTCCCCGCCTTCCAAACCCAGAACCACACCCCCCTCATGCCCACTCTTCCTCCATCTCCTCCTCCCTCCCATGGTGCCCCTCCCCTTCCTCCTGCTTCACTAACCTCTCCCCCCACCTGAGCCAAACCTGCAACTTAGAAAAACAAAAAAAAAAAAAAAAAAACCCCATCTTCATCTTCCCGTAAAGGGTAGGTGCAGGGAAATAGGCGGGATTAGGGAAGAAGGGATATGGGTTTTTTTTTTTTTTTTTTTTTTG